ATTCAATTTGGTTTTATATACAAGATTTTAAGTCGCTTTATTTTTTATATTTATTTTTTTTTCAAAATAGTTTACCAGCTCTTATGTTAAAGAGCGAAAATAGTAGCTTTTATATAGTTCAAAATGCTCTTCTGACCCTTAATATAAGACCTATTTAACTAATTTGATCAGATTAAAAAAGTTAGGTAAGTTAGTTAATTATAAGAAATATGACATGTTTTTTCTAAAATACCATAATTATCTTTCTTAATATTCTCCCTCTCTCACTTACTTGATTATAGTTGATAGAGTATCTAAAGGGGTAATTTAGAAAAAATTAATAAATATAAGAAATAGATTTTATATTTAAGATCAAAATTAACTTAAAAATTAGGTCATACATTAAAGACGATTTTTATAAGCTTTGCAATGGATGGAGGAAATGTTGCAAGTTTGCAAATATGACTGCATATCCATCAGTTTTGATGACCATCACGAGTGGCGCTTTAGGGTCCGTTTGGATGAGCGATTGGAAAAGCAGCTTATAGGAAAAGTAGCTTATGGAGAAGTGAAGTTGGTAAAAGCTAAATTGGATAAGCTAAATTGTGTTTGGATTGGAGTTCAGAAAAGCTAATTTGCAGAAGTGAGATTGGTGAAAAGGTGTTTGGATTATAGTTGAGTAAAAGTGAGTTTGGTTATAAAACGACTAAGGATCCGTTTGGATCAGCGATTAAAAAAATAGCTTATTAAAAAAGTAGCTTATGGAGAAGTGAAGTTGGATAAAAACTAAATTAGATAAGTTGAATTGTGTTTGGATTGAAATTTAAAAAAATTAGTTTGTAAAAGTGAGATTGGTAAAAGGTTGTTTGGATTATAATCGAGTAAAAGTAAGTTTGTTTGTAAAATTATCAAAATGGATATGAGTTTTGATCAATAATGAAATATTATTAAGAAAATAATTTTACATAATACAATAAATTTAAATTAATTTAATATAAAGAAGTGAAATTTAATGAGTGAATTAAATTTTGAAATTTCAGAGAAATCATAAAAAATATTTTAAATATAACCAATATATGATAAAAATAAATTAAGATAATATAATGAATTTAAATTAATTTAATATGAAGAAGTGAAATTTAATAAGTAAATTAAATTTTAAAACATTTAAAAAATTATAAAAAATTATTGTAATCATAACAAACATAAGAAAATCCAAAACTAAAATAAAACATAAAAAAAAAAATTTTGTTCGATCATATCCTCCTGCTTCGGTTCCAGTTCCCCTCTCTTCTCTCTCTAATTTTCTTTTGCGTCCGAAGTAACCATGGAAGTTCATCTGAGTACGAAGAAGACTCCAATCAACGATTGCTTTGGGAGTTCTTGTAATTCGCAGAATCAACGATTTTCAGATTGCTTCTCCATCTCTTGCAGGGGTTCAATCCGTTTCTATAGTCAACAACTTTTGCAAATGGAGTGTTGTGATTCTTGCTCTCATCGCTGTCTTTGGGAGTATCATCAACAAAATCAAGATTCTCATCCTCAGATTTCCAATGGTGGCACAATGAAGATTTCTGACGACATCTTAGGGTCTTAGCATCAGAGATATTTTTTGGTTATCAGAGAGAAAAATAAAAAGAGAATAACGGTGTATAAGCTTCTTCAAATAAGCTCCCTTCCTGAGCTTATTTTCAATCGTACGTTTCCATAGCTTTAACCCTCAAGCTCGATGCCTTACAAGCTGTGCCAAACAGGATGAAATTTTTCAATCGAGCTTTTCCTCAAAATAAGCTGCTTATTGCCCAAAATAAGCTCTGCCAAACAGGCACTTAATAGCTACTTCTTCCATCGTCTAGCGCCAATCCATCCACTTCAACCTCGGCAAAACCTCATAGAACCGCAAGCGCAACTATCCTGAGAATTTCAGTGAACTCGTACAAATCATATCTTCTCAACAAGTCATGATCTGAACAGGCTTGAATAAGCTAAATTGAGTATTTAATCAATCTATTGATTCTTCTGTCTCAAAGAACTTGTTACATCAAGACACCAAAACTTCCTAATAGAGGTATGCATCGAGAATATAACAAGATTTTTTTTTTTGGTTCGGCTTCATGTTTAATGTTCCATTTAACCCCTTTCATTTCTTGGAGGGAAAGGAAGTTATTAAGCCAACATTCTTGTGAGATCACAGACTTCCAACAATCAATTGCATTCAAATAATCTCCTGACTAGTGCATTGAATCCCCTTGTGCCAACATTATGGGGAGACCACAAACTTCCAACGATCCATTTCATTCAAATAATTAACAATTTCCAAACAATTGTGCAGCGAATCTTCCCCTTGAGAATAACCAAATAATTAACAAGCTCCACCTGAGCTCTGCCATCTGAGAATAACCAAATAAAGGATTTAATTTTCTCAATTTCCTGCCATCTTCAAAGGATCTTCCTCTCCTATTTAATTATTGTTGGAAAGATATCATTAGTGTTAATTTAAAAAAATTTAATAAACATGTGAAATAGGCCTTATATAAAGGATCAATATCAACTTTTTAATTAGATCTTATATTAAGGACTAAAAGAGTATTAATATTTAGCTACAATTTCACACTATCTAGATCTATGTTCTGAATCCCTTGAATCTTGAAAGATTCTGGGAACTAACTCTTCAAAAATATTTTTAAAATTGATTAGAATTACTATCTTCTGTTTTTAATATAAGACTTTGTTTGAATTTTATTTTGATCCTAAATATAAGACCCCAATCCACTTTGTCTCTTGTATTTATGTATTTTTTTCCAAATTAGTCCTTCTAACAATGGTAGTTCTAGCCAATCTAGTTGATTAGTAAAGATATTTTAGGGAAGACAACACATATTTATTATAAATAATTAACTTACCTTCTTTCCTTAATATCCTCAAATTAGTTAACTAGTTTTTATAATTAGGATCGAAGATAGTACTTTATTATTTAAATTAAAAAAAGTAAAATACATTAACTATCATTTTGTTTTACCTAATTTACAAAAATCTCTCTATTTTAAAAGTATATACGCATCTCGCACTCTTTCTTAAAATTAAAATATTTCTTATACAATTGATAATCATTTTCTATCAACCCTAATTCTTTTCTTTTTTTTTTATGAAACTATCAAACCTAATTCTAATGCATATATTTCTAGACTTTCTAATATATTATACAATTTCTTAATTTTGAGCATATTAATTAATTTTAATTTTTCATCACATTTATTGAAGTTTATTTCTGTAGGTTTCTTTTAATTAGATAGAAAATATATTTTAAATTCATATTTTTTTTATCATACAGCATAAATAATATAAGTTTTAGAGATTACATAAATCATTTAAATTTGCAGTTTAAAATTTTTAGACACATTTTTTCTACATACATTTATAAACACATTTACTCAAGTGTATATTTATAAACATAATTAATCAAATTTTAAATCAAGTTTTTTATATCTATATTAACTAAATTACTTGAACTTTGGTCTCAATATGATAAAAAGTTCAAAAATAATAATTATTTGCAAAGGAAAATTTAGGAAAAAACTCTTAAATTTTTCAGAATAATTTTAGCCAGAATTAGGAATTAGGAATTTGATATAATAATGAAGTGTACATTAGTAAGTCAAATTTATTTAAATGTTCTTAGAATATTCTCAAAAAGTCAACAATTTAGATTCGGGCATATAGTTTTAACAAAAAGTAGAGAAAGTTCGTTTAATTAAAATACTAATGACTTAACTTTCTCTTTCCTACCAACAAAGTGCAGCTGTTTCCTTAAGCATGATGTCTTGGATGCCTAATTTCTGCAACAAAAAATAACGTAAGGGAACCCTAATAATTAGATTAGTTAGCTGAGATTATTTTATTTTAAACATGGGTTTTAAGTTTGAGGTAAGGAAATGCAGTATCTTAGGGGCTAAGGACACCAATCTTAATAGTTCATGTATTGCCTTGATTCAGATTAATCTAAGCCTGTTATTATGTCTTCAAAAATCTAACTTAGGATACAGGTGTGTTTGGGGGGGGGGAAACACTAGGGATGTTAAAGTATTTTATTTTAAAACAAAAGTACATAACTTTTGAATTTTTATATTTAAAAAACTGTTCATTACTCATTAGGCCACATTGAGTAAGGGTTCCATTACTCATTTTGTCGACTAATAATTAATAATTCCTATATTATACTATGGTTTGGATGAAACCAAACTATAATTTTAAAAATACTTTTATGCTATATAAAGTAATATGTGAAGGAGTTTACCTCGTTTTACAGAAAAGTGCGTTTTAAATGTATTATTTTAAGTTATCAAACACTCCTTATATTCAAGGGTTAAAAGGTGGTTTAAAGAAAATCATAGAATTAGCGTTATCTCGTTCTTATATTGTGTTATTATATTGGAGAAATCAATTAAACGCAAATATCATTAGTATTTTTTTTTTGGCCGAACAAATATCATTAGTGTTTCTAAATGCATGATCATAAGCAAATTTAAAATTGCTAATCTCATCACTAGATACCGTTTCGAATTTTTGTGTCTCACATTTTGTGTGGGGTCTCCACTCTCTCAACGTGAGAAACTTTTCTCATTCGGAGAGTCCATCGCCAACACCAGACGTCTGCCTCGGGAGTCGGGAACACCGCTGAAGCTTTTCTGGCTCTCCATTGCCACGCCAACAACGCCACTACTCCTTCGTTTCGCGTGAGCGGAAGAAGGGCGTTTTCTGATCATCTGCGCTGTTTCAACTCGTGATTTTGATCAATCCCTCAATGTCATTGCCAGAGAAACAGTGAGTTTCTTCAAATATCAAAACTTTCTGGAACAAGGTCCTCGTTGGAGAATGTAAGTCCTCTCTCTCTCTCTCTGTGACTTCTTTTTTCCCCCTTTGAAGAGAAAGTCCGTATCTCTTGATGATCCCATTTGCAATGAGTTGTTTCTTTCGGTCTCCTAATAGGACACTGCTGGAGTCGCCCTGCCTGGTAAGCCACTAGTCACCGGTTCACCGGTGAAGCAGCCGTGGCGCCGCTAAGCTAGCTACCCTTACCTGCTTGTTTCTGTGCCAAAACTGAACCTGGTAGGATGATGAGTTAGTTGAGGTGCTCCTGTTCAATGATCCTACTGTGGGCATTTTAAAAAGTTTATGTTTTTGGGAAAAGTGTCATTTATAATGTTTAGTGCAATGCATTCTTTCGATCACCAATATTTGTTTTTCTGAGCTTTTCAATATTATCTCTGATTTTGTGTTCTCCCTGGGCTCTTATTGAAGACTTCTTGCAGTCAACGGAGAGTTGTGTTCACTTTAACAGTGGAGCCTATTTTTTTGCTAACGGTTTTAAGTTATGGGGAGGAAGAAGAAACTAAATAAGGAAGAGGTTGCTGAGGATTGGTGCTTTATTTGTAAGGATGGAGGACTATTAATCTTGTGTGAATACAAGTAAGCGCAGAACCTTGACTATATATTCTTTGTATGCAAACAACCCTCGTTATTTCTTTGCAAATCGTCATTTTCATTGAAAAAGACGCACCAGCTTTAGCAATGGTCAATTTTGTTCTTAAATGGATTAAGGGATGAAACGTGGTACTTAGGCTCAGTTATCAAACAATGGCACATGTTACATTCTTGGTGGATATGGATATGATTTGACGAAGGGCAACCACACCAAGGTCATGGATGAGCCTTTCTTTCTGATAAAAGTTACTCATGTTGCTTTCAGGGACTGCCTTAAAGCATACCACGCTGAGTGTGTTGGAAAGGATGATTCCTCTTCAAGTTATTCGCGCTGTAGTAAGCTGCATCTGTGTCTCTCAACTATTATTGTAAAACATTTTATCTGCTATTGTTTTTGTTTCTTTTTGTTTTCCTTTCCAGTGCAGTACATATTCGTTTTGATGTTCCGCAGTTGTAATTCACCTGTTATGTACAGTGGATACACCCACCTTAACTCCCAAGCACTTTTTACTTTCCGCAATAGCTTGTTTTGAATATCACCTGTATGTCCTCAACAGCAAGAGACCAGGATTTACCATATCTTTTTATTTTCTTGTCCATGTGATAAAATTCCACAAACAAGTTTCACCTTAGCACTTGGCAGCCTTGTGGAAAATTTAAAGTATTGTGGGTGGCGTGTTTTTTTTTTTTTTGGGTTGGTCTCTTTGTATGTTCACTTGTAACAAATAATTCCAAAAGGTTTTCACAATTTTTTCCCTCCTTCTTAAGTGCTTCGCAAAATAATTATCTGTTGCTTGTAAAACTTCAGGTTGGCATAATTGCTTCCTTTGCCATAAAGCCCCAAAGTTTCAGTGCTTTTGCTGTCCAAATGCCGTCTGTGGGCGTTGCTTCTGTGATGCTGGGTTTTCAGTTTTCAAACGGAATAAAGGATTTTGTAGCCTCTGCCTGAGACTTGCACGACTTGTAGAGGAAAATGCTGATGTTGATTCTGATGGGGTAAGATTGTTTTCATCATTTTTTATATGTAAGAGACTACTCAATTGAAATCCTGAGCCTTAGGAATTTTAGATGGAAAAGAGAAATTGCTAATTGTTTTCCATTTATGCACAGTTGGAAAATTAATGAGGTGAACCTTTTAAGCTAATAGATAAAATTGGATATAGAAAAAAAGAAGGATTGTTCTGCCTTGGTAAGAAGGAATAAATATTCTACATTCATATTTTCGATGTGAGTTGTGAGGTTCAAAATATGAAAGCTGGCTTTTTTCAAAACTGAATCACCCAATTGTCTGTTACCAAGTTATCATAATACTGACAGTAGAATATTCATTGTTGAATGCCAACCTGACTCTGAAGTATGAAGGATGGCCGCTTCATGTTACTGATTTAAATTCCAGCCTCAGCCATGTTTCAGATTAGCACCTCACACAACTATAATTTACATTAATTTATTTCCTATTGAGGTTTTAGTTTTGTCTCTGTGTGTGTGTGTGTGTGTCACTGGAACTGCAATGCTTTACTATGAAAGTTCTATTATCTTTTATATCTGATTGTGCCTTTCTGGTTTTGATCTACAGGAAAAGATAGACTTTAAAGACCAAGATACGTATGAATTCTTATTTTCAGATTATTATAAGATTATCAAGGAACAAGAAGGGTGGAATTCTCAGCAAATACATTCTGCCTATAAGTTATTCAAGAGTGGCAAAATCTACAAATGTGACGAGTCGTGTGAAATAGGTGAAGGGCATGATGATTCTGAAGAATCTGAAGATAACTTTGTTGTTTCTGATGATGATGGTTTCAATGACAAACCAGTAGGTAAGCCTCGGAAAAAGCGGAAGAGTCATGTAAGGGAGTTGAAAACAATTAAAGAAAAGGCAAAGGATAAGAAAAAGGAGTTTATTGGGTGGAGTTCCCGAGGTCTTACTGAATTTCTCCTCTATATTGGTAGAGACACAAGCAAAGCATTATCCCAACATGATATTTGCTCCATCATTATCCAGTACTGCAAAGAAAACAAGCTTTTTCACCCTGAGAAAAAGAGAAAGATACTTTGTGATGCGAAGCTGAAGAGTTTGTTGGGTAGGAAATCAGTGAATAAGAACAGTCTGTATAATCTTTTGACGCCGCATTTTGCTGAAAATTGTGAAGATATGGAAGATGATACCACTAGTGGTTCAGAAGATAGGGATAAAAATGAGTCAGTCAATTGTAAAAAGCAGAGAAGACTAAACTCAAGTTCAACATCTTATGAGGACCTAGTTTCAGAAGGACATCAAAGCTGCTTTGCAGCCATAGTTTCGTCAAATATCAAACTTGTCTACTTGAAGAGGAGTTTAATAGAGGAGCTTTTGACTCAACCAGAAACTTTTGATGGGAAAGTGATTGGAAGTTTTGTGAGAGTCAAATCTGATCCAAATGACTATTTACAGAAGAATTCTCATCAGCTATTGCAAGTTGTAGGTAATTTTCTCTCCTATGTTGCAGCCATTATTTGTCATAAGAAGTCGATGATGAAATCATTAAATTCATGATTCAAGAAAGATGCGGGGAAGCCTCTCACAGATGTCAATCTTGTATCTCTCTTTTTATCTAGTATGATATGTAGTAAAATATTGCTGTTTTAAAGAAAATTAGATATTGAAAGTTTCCCAATACAACAAAATTTTGGAGTTCAAAATTGAACCTATGACCTTTTGTAGATTACCTTCCATCCACTACCTCACTACTAGTGGGTTGAATGCGGCAGATTGAAATACTGTTTATTTTTACCTTGAATCATGAGCATCCTTGATGTAGACCCAATAGCGAGAGTAGAGAACAAGGGGGAGGGAGGAAGAGATGTGCGGAGAGTTAGAAAGAAGTTAGAAGAATCTGACCCGTACTAATAATACCAGCTATCCCAATAGAGGCATCTCTATTATCGGATAATTGTTTTCATCAAGCATCAAGCAAGATATATGTTTGAAGAAGCACCTTCTGGATTTAGCCAGCTTTCAGGGTCTCATAGAAGTGATGGATGTTGGGGAGATATTGGTAGATCTGGTATCTAATTTCTAACATGTCATGCTTTAATGCAAACAATTAGACCATTTCATAAAATTAACTGGCAGATTGAGCCTAAAGCACAAATGAAAAAACCGTGGAAAAATGCTGCGAGCAGATTGTCATGAGTTCTTAATGATGTTGAATATCTTCATTTGCTGCAGCCATGATATTTCAAGTAATACAAGTGATATTTTTCCCCCCCAACGGTTGATTTATTTCTTCTATATGCATTTATTGACATGTTTCTTCATCAATTTCAGGCATAAAAGAACCTTCAGAGAATAATGAAATCAATGAAGAAATTCTGCTTCATCTTTCCAATTTGCCAATAGATGTCCCTATTTGTAAAGTTTCTGACGATGACTTTTCAGAGGTACTAATATTGTTGTAGCAAGCTTTTGGGGTTCGTTTGTCCCAATTTTTATGGAGATATTGGAGAAAAATAAGAAACAAATTCCAAGTCAACTTGGACAATTCAAGTGTCATATAAATTATTTATGTTTCTGTGATATTTTGTTATATAATATTGCTTTAAAGGTCGAAAAGTTTCTCGATTGACCATAAGCAACATAGATTTGCAATTTGTTGTTGGTCACTGAAATGTTTCATTTACTTGAACTTATAGAAAATTGTGTCTACTGTTTAGTCTCTTTGGGGTTCAATTTTTAAACCAAATTATTTGGTTGTTCATAGAACATAATAGTGCCATGTGATCCATGAGGCCGACCCCATTTAGTGGGATAAGGCTTGTTGTGTTTAAAAATTTTGAAGCATGATACTTTTTCTGTTGCAGAGTTCATTCTCTTTCTATTCTAATAATTCTAAATCAATTAGGGCATGGCTTTATAATGTTTGGAACTTACTGCAGGAAGAATGCCAAGATCTGAATCAAAGGATGAAAGATGGTCTACTTTCACAGCCCACAGTTGTAAGTTAATCATGCATTAACAATTTAGCTCATTAGGGCAGTAGGTAATTGATTCTATGAATGCCTTAGATGGGAATTTGGGGAATGCCAATCTGGCTTGAGTGCTACACAATTGAACCCTTGGAAATTTGTTTACCACTTGTTTCTTTAACATTGGGAGATGGTTGTCACATCAGATTTTGGCAGCTATTTGGGTAGGGGATTGAAAAAAGTGATGATTGTATCAGGAGGGGTTTTGGCGCATGGATGGGGAGGAGGCATTTGATACCCACAGATGGTTTTGAACTTTTGAAACTGATACGAAACATGTTTCGACTTCACACACGTACACTTGCAAGCGCACCAACACAAATGATAATTATAATTTTCAGCCAAGATGTTCAGCTTTTTGCTGTTTTTCAGACTTACCTCCCATGACGTGAGAATTATGGTTCATTCAAATCTAAAGGATTATAGAATAATAAATATAAAGACTGGATTACTAAAATAATGCAAACGGATGTTAACCATTTTCTTTGTTTTACAGCTAGAGCTTGAACAGAAAGCCAGAAGTCTGCATGAAGATATCATAAAGCATGTATGTTTCGACATCAATATTTTGAGTTTCTTTTTGGTCTAGACCTCTTTTATATATAATTTCACTTGATTGTTGACTGCTGTTTCTAGAGTCTTGACAATGGAACATTGATTATTTTTAACTAAAATGACATCAGATGCCATGCGTGAAGGGAAATTGTTTCTAGGTGAAAGTCGACTTCTTTGTTTTCCGTCATGCTTCGAATTTTATAATTTTAAAATTTATGAAATCCCTGTCCTTAATTTGAGCACGTTTAAGCTGGCGCAACTTGCATCACCCTAAGAAAGTGTAATATGGTTAAACGTTGGTTTAAAAGTCAGAATCTAGCTCTCTGCGTGGATCTAGTCGTGAAGAAAGACAACATTTAAATTTGTTGAGCACATGATCCGACACTTTTGACTCACCAATCCCGCCTATTAATGGACCCCGTGGGCATTATTTTAATGTTAGTTGTGATTACTTTCTTATATCTTGAGAACTAACATGGCAGTGGATCCCAAGGGAGTTGGCATCATTACAAAGACGCATAGATCAGGCCAATGAAAAGGGATGGAGAAGAGAATATCCTTTCATGATATTGTATTTTGTCACTCTGTACATGTTGCTCCGTTTGATTCATTCTCGCTGCATAATTTCTATTCCTCAAACCAGAAGCGAGCACACAGACACACACAGGTCTGTTGTTTTTTCCCTCCAAATAAATAATGCTGAAGTAAAGGGGAAAACATGTAAACAAATAGAGTAGGCCCACTCCCAACATTAAGGATAGTCAGGCGCTGAATGGCTTCATGGTGGGGAAAGTTTTACTATTATGCCAGATCTGATATTGTTTATATACCTTCTGGTTAAATTTCTTTTATGTTTTGAGTGCGTGAGTTCATTTCACATCTATAATAAGCAATTTGAACCTTAACATGCAATATTTCCGTACACTTTCTGAGTACATGGATAGAAAGCTGCTGCTACAGACCCAATCAGAACAATCACGTTTACTGAATGATAAACCGAAAGTAATTCCAGATTTACTGCATGGCAAACCTTCACAGGAGCCAGAGGATACACTAAGCAAGGATAAACTAGAGGTTGCCCCAAGTAAGGGTAAACTAGAGCAAAATGGCTTACCAAAATTTGTCCTGGGAGAACCACATACTCCTCTTGGAAATCCTTCTAAAACCACTGCAGGTTCGCCAAGCTTTCTCCGTCCTCTATCTGTTCCTGTAATTTGTAGTAACTCAAATAAGTTTTCTGTTGGGAATTTTCTATCTCGATGTGGCACTAGGGTATCTGAAGGCCATTTTCATTCTTGTTTAAGCTATGATTTATCAATCCGTGAAGATCCATTAAGAAAATTGAGTATTTATTTATACTGTTCTAAAATTCAAATGCAATGAGGTACATGTTTCACTCGGGCTAGGCTTACTTACAGACTATTTAGAAATTGCAGGTAGCATGTCTTTTATGATATCTTGCATTCCTATATCATCTGCTGTATCCTCTTTTTGGTTGATACTGCGCCTTTTAGTCTGTGTACCCTTCCACCACTAAAAGTGGTTTTTACTTGCCTCGCCTTTTTGTGGAGCTGATCTACTTATGTTCATGACAATTAGTATTTATGGAAGATATTCATGAACATGTTTTAACTTTCGTGGCCCAGACTCAGAGACTCCAGCAGTGAAAGGCCAAGATGGCAGGACAATTTCTGCTTCTGTTAAACAATCAACTGTCACTGCTATTGTCCAAGGGAAATGCACTTCTCCAAGAAAGCAGCTTCAATCTAGTTCAAAAGTTTTGCAAGTTAACACCACTAATGTACTCTCTGAACACTTAAGGTTGGAACCTCCGACCTGCAATACAACATCAAAATCTGGTCTTCCTCAGCCAAGGCACCCTGATTCTGGTTCAGGTCGTGATAGAAGAAAATCAGATACTCCCATGAATTCAGAACAGATGACCAAGGAAAAGCAGAAGAAAAAGCAAAGCATGCCAGTACGTGACATGATCGTTTTAAGTGATGACGACGAGCAGGATCAAAATGGTCAAATAGAGAAAGAAACAAATGAAAATCCTGAAATTCCGATATGGCACTGTGTAAGTCCATGTGGTGAAAAAAGGGGGCCCTTCTCAATGTCGTTGCTTAAACGGTGGAGTGAAACTAGCTCCACTGCTTCAGAATTCAAAGTCTGGAAGACAGGTCAGAGTGAAAGAGATGCAATGCTTCTCCCTGTCGCTCTTCGCCAATGTTTGCCAGAAAGTTAGGTGAACGGAAACAGACAATTTTGTGTATAGTTGACTTAAACCCAGTATGAGAATGTGTTGGGAGATTCAGCTGGGAAAATCACATGCATGCTTGGGGGAAATAGTCAGGGTCTTTTGCGATGTAAATGAAACACCTTGATATTCATAGAAAACATGCATGTGGAACTTTCTTTTCTTTTCATTTATAGATGATTTAACTGTTCTCTATTTTGGTTTAGTTAAGTGTCAAAGTGATACTTTGGCATTGTTCTAATATGTAAGCTCCCCCCCCCCCCCCCCAAAAAAGGAATAGCCGTTTCTTTCAATTCCCTCTTATCTGGTTTTGCTCTCACTGGAGAATGTTGCTTCATGCTATAACGAAGGAGAAACTTCTTTCTTTCCTTTTCCCCCCCTCCAGGAGGAGAAATTTCAGTTCTTCATAGATATTCTATTGTTAACTTTTTTTTGCCAACGATATTCTATTGTTACTATTTACAAGAGAATATTGGGAATGTGGTTTTGTTTCTATATGAGAAACAATTTATTAGCTTTTCTAGAGTATTTATTATAATTTTTCAATTATGTTCTTATTAAAGAGGAGAGATATTTGTCACATATTTAAAGCTTGTAAGCAAACTTACTTGGTATTTGTTTCTTGTAAAAATAAAGAGAGGGAGTGATATGCTTTTTATCAATGCCTTTGTGGCATAGTGATATTAAAATTCCCTCAAAAGTATGTCACAAGTTCTAAGTTGTTGGCTTGCTTTCGTAATTCAAAAGAGAAAAAGATAATATGCTCTTCACTAGGAGATGGCAATGACAGTTCCCAATTCTTGTCGAGCGCATCCATGACCATAAAATTTTTTCCCATCTTTCCTCAAGCCATTTTGAGCATTGGACTCCTCTGTTCATTACTTCATTAGTTTTCTGGTGTTATTAATGGGATCAAAGAAGCCCCTTTGGATCAACCAGAGAGCAAAATGTGGTCAAAGCAAGCAAACTATTGGCAGAATGCAGAATATTCAGAATGTTGGCAACTCAGATCCTCAGTCGAGAAATCTTGCAGGCTGCCTAAATGAGTAATCTGAGTCGTCCAAATTAAATATGTACGAAAAAAAGATCTATAAGTTTGGCCTTTTAACTTAATGTGCTGGCCTCACATTTGACTCATTTATTTCACTTTTCAAAATAACGCAATTACATAAAATGTCAGAAACACATATTCAACCCCTTTTTCATTCTTTCCCTTTCATTATTTTACTTTTCTTTCTGCTAAGAATACAATTAACGAATTGAGGAACAGAGAAAACAGACTACAATAACAATAGGCAAAATCTGTATACTCCATAGTAGACTTAAAAGCATCCTGGCTCAAGGTAGGTAGCAAAACGTTAATCACACTTCTGTCTCCAGGAACCTCTAAATTTCCGTGTTGCTCTAACAATTTTTCACTAGAGTTCGGGGGCCTTGTAAGATCAGCGAAGATTCTTCTACTGGCTACTGCTTGCAGCATTTTCTTTCCTAAAAGCATCTAGCCTTTGCTTGAACTCCTTGCTCTTTTCAAAGTTTGCCTTCCGCTTCAAAGCTTTCTGGTTTAACAAATCATATTTGAGCAGTGGCACAAAAACATAGCAGAGCCATGAAAAAGAAAACAGTAAAAACTCACTTCCTCCCTGAAACAGCGATCCAACTTTATCTTCAGATCTGTACATTTACCAAAGAATTTTCCATATGGATGTTCTATATGGCACTGTTGGAACTGCTCAATAATCTACACAAAGCAGACCCCAGAATAAGCAATAAATTGGTCCGTGCTACTTAAGTTGGAAATCACAAATCTTTATCATCAGAGCAATATCACTGATGACAGCTTTCAGCACCACAAGCAAAGATACACGGTCTAGGTCACACAACAAAACCAGGTTGCAACAAAAATATTCACACCCCACCACATTCAGAACAAAACACAACCATTTCACAGATAATACTCCGTTTATAACCAAATATCCAACAAGGCAACAACCTTCTAATGAAAAAGAAATGGAGAGACGTAATGCAAAAGAATGAACAAAAGGAAATTAACAACGTAAGTAAACAATACATAATAAAATAAAGCAAAAACATTCACCCAAAAAAAAAAAAAAAAAAAAAATATAATCAAACTCACTTCTGCACACATCGGGTGCTTGTGTAAGGTTAGAGGAGGATGCATTTTCCCACGATCCAATCAAATATGAAGCACCAACCACCTGTTTATTCAGGAAAGTTTATTGAATTTGTTACATTTTGAATATGAAGGAGCAAGGATTATACATTACCCTAACAGAAGGTAAAACAAGAATAATCAGCAGAGTTAACGCAAAAAAGTAAAACATCATACGCAACAAACTAAAATTGATGAAAATTCAGTCCAAACATAAATTGTTCTCACCCAGAGTCAGATCACAATGAGTTGCAGAGAACAAAAGCTAAAAGATCATAAATGATAGTACAAATTGAAAGAACAGAAAGAAACCCAGAAGAAAAGGAGCTCGATTTAGGACAAAAAACGATGAAGAATCAATTCAAAATGAAGAGCAATTATGAAGACTTGCCGGTATCTAAACTTGAATTCTCAATATGAATGAAAGTGAGAAGAAAGAGAAGCAAGGCAGAGTTGCTTACTTCCTTCGCGCCTCCCCCTCTATCGCCGATCAAAGTTCGCCGCGCGGGGAGGATTAATTACGACCCGATTCCGCCCTGGAGATGATATATCCGGCGTCCCAAATTATTTTCTTTTCTGCATATATATATATATATATATATATAAAATAATTTCAACCGACAAAACTTGGAAACTAAGACCATATTCAACAATTCAGCGGGATAGTTGCAACCCGCGTCAACAAAAAGATCATCTAATTATTAAAACGATGATTTCATCTATTATTGTAAATATTGTTTGGATCCTGAATGATTCTTTCAAAATGAATCAAAGAAAGGATAACTAAATAAAAATTATCAGAAGACATTTTTTTTTCCTTAAAATACCGGATGAAATAGAAAAAAGTATATCGAACAAGTGACCAACAGACTGAAAACATAGGTGAATCCAGGGGACTTATATTTCAATTTTCAAGTATTTTCTAATTTTTATGATTTAAGAATTATTTTACTTTATATTCTATTTTGAACAATAATAATAAGGAAACTAAAATTCAACCAGTGAAATAAAATATAAATCATCATTAATAAAGTTGTCTCTAATGCTGAGAGCAAACGTCCCCAATTCTAAAGTGAGCATGTGCTTAGTATCCATCATTAATGGGAGTATTTTGGTGTTGCATGGTTATTAAAGCCAAGCACTTTCCCGGCCTACAGTATGAGTTACTTTCAACTAATATATTAGAATAAAAAAATTTAGTTAACTTATTAAATCAATCTCAAATTTAAAATTTTATATTAATTATAGGGACAAAATTTAATAAATAAGTATTAATTATTGCCTAAATAATTTATATTTTGGACTAAATTATTTCTTATGAGTTACTTGTATTGTGGAAAGGAAAGGGGTATAACAATTGTTGTAAGACTTTTTCCACATGTATAATACAGATAATTATATTTTATGCCAGCCAAAATATATATATATATATATATAGATTAAAAAGTTGATTAGATTTGATTATAGGCAATGAATGTATAAAAATATATTTTATTTTTGAAAATATTCTTTTTAGAGGGAGTGAGTCACATAAGAACACAACAACAGCCTCAGTGTTGTTATTTACTTTTGGGTTAACATAATTGTCCGTCTTTATAATTTAGTCCCATTTTGGTTTTAATCCTCAGAGTTTCAAATCATAATTTTTGGTTTTTTAAGATTTTTCGTTAGAACTAGGACAAAAAATTAACGGTGTTAAATTTGTACATCTGTCATTAACACCGTTAAAATTGTTGCTGATGTGGGCTGATGACTGGGCAAGATGCTTACACTGACATGGTCATGTCAAAAAACGAGGAAGAAAAAGAAGCTTACAACGCAAAGTGATCGGCCGGCGTTCTCCTCTTCCTCTCCATTCAACTCGCAACGTCTCCTCTGGTTCAGGCGCTGAATATGATGATCAGTCTCTCCACCAATGGTGCACACAACGCTGAAGACGACGATGAGCAATGCCTAGTCTATTTTGCAGTCAATAAAAAATGCCATGCTGGAAGCTCGCCACTTTGCTCCTCCTTCTGCCCACGTTCTCAACTTGTTCCAATTTCAATCAGATAAAATAATAAATGCATACAACAAAAGCAAGGAATCTGCACTGAAAATGTGACCAAGAAGTTACTGTTCATCTCCTTTTCGTGGACTGGAGCAGCAGAGGAGCTTCGACAACAATCTGAAATAGAAAAGGGGAATGTCAGATCTGAGAGACGAGCGCTCGATGGGGGAGAAGAGATGAGGTCGCGTAGCTGGGAGCAACTTCCTGGCTGCTCATTGTTGTCTTCAGAGTTGTGCGCGCCATTAGGTAGAGAGATTGATCGTCATCTTCAACGCGTTAACCAGAGGAGACCCTGCGAGCTGCTGAACGGAGAGGGAAGAGGTGAGCGCCCGCCGCCTCCCACTTCAGATGCTTTTTCTTCCTTTTTTCCCACATGTCCACGTCAGCACGAGCATCTTGCCCAGTCATCAGCACACATCAGCAATTTTAACGACACGTGTGCAAATTTAACACCTTTAACTTTGGTTCGAGACATGAGAATACAGCACTTCAAGGGGTCAGGGGGCGCCGTCGAAAGGATCCTTGCAAGCCCCCGAATCTGGACTAGTCTGGGATTTTGTCACGACTGAAAGATGCCTATTATTCTAGGATACCGGATGGAAGCAATGAAAAAAAAAAAATTATGCTTTAAAATTTTAGAAACTTGAATTAAAATGAGGCTAACCATAATTATGTTAATTTTTTTTACTCTTTTAACATCCAAATGTTGGTAGCGATGATCCATTTTGTCACAAATGTTCCTCTCCCCGCAGCAGAGCTCCAACACCGATGAGGGGCCAGCGCAGGCACCTGATTAAAGAGGTTTTGATGAAACTAACTATAGTTTGGAGAATAACTTCTGGAGAATAGATTTTTTAGAGAATAAATTTGGGTTAATTAATCTACAAGTCTTTATAATTTAACCATTTTGAATCAGGTCCTTATAATTTTTTTCCTTTTTATCAAGTCCTTACATTTTTGCCTATTTAATTAGGTCCTTGTATTTATTTTTCTTTTTATTAAATCCTTATAAGTTTAAATTATTTTTAA